CAGGGTAAGAAGAACCGTCGCCCAGGGGCTAAAGGGATGGTTGGGCAGCATGCTGCCAGTCTGAAAGATTCAGCCAAAAGCCGCAACAAACGGCTGACGCTAGACATGCAGAGTGCTTTGCTGGAGAGCTCTGTCACGCTTTCCCCCGTTGACTCGCTGGATTCGCCGCGCGGAGGCGCCAACAATGCCGGCTACATCACCAATCCAACCTCACCGGCCGCCATGCCCACTCCTGGCCTTTTCCACTCCTCCATGTCTGTTCCTTCCACTCCCATGGTGCACAGCAGTATCCTGGATGGCACCAGCCCTTTTGCAGTCTCCCTGGCACAGCTGAGCGACCTGGGTGACGGAGGGCTCTCGATGCAGGGGCGTGTGGCCATGCAAGGAGGCAGCATCAACCAAGGCCCCCACAACTACGTGCTGAATGCCGGCCAGATGAGCCTCAACATGGGCATGGTAAGTCCAGTAAGCGTCCCGTTTGACTGGCACAGCCGCATGACTCCATCTTCTCAGTGCAGTCAGCCCATGGTCAACCTGGTGCATCCAGCAAGTAGCCAAGCAGGCATGCACCCTCAGACACCAACCCTGCAGCAAACCAGCATGCTCTTGCACCAGCAGCAGGTTTTCCGTAATGCCCAGCAGCCCATCCTGCAGCCAACACCCGTCTCCAACACGCCCTCTATTAGCCCGGTCAAACTGACGCCCATTGCAGAGCAGCAACCGCAGCAACTTCACAGCCACGCCCTTACCAACCCCAACCTCACCCGCATGGGCTCCTCCACTCCCCCGACACCACAGCAGGCACAGCCTCCTCCAGCCTTCTACCAGTCACAGCAGCCGCAGGCTCAGCCTCCGCAGGCCACAGCATCCCCTCAGGCCTCGCAAGCACAGGCTATCTCGACTCAGGCACCCCCAGCACAGGGGAGCGGCAGCACCGCAGGCCCGGAGGATTACCCCACTCCGCCCTCCCAGCACAGCTACACCTCTGCCATGGATGCGACGCCCAAGCATTACTTGCATGTGCCCAGTGAACATCCTTACCTGACCCCTTCTCCAGAGTCTCCAGAGGCCTGGTCTAGCCCTTCCCCTCACTGTGTGTCTGATTGGTCTGACTCCACCCCGAGCCCGGCCGTCACGGCTTCTGCTCAAACCCAGATTTCCCATGTCCAGGAGTCCAATGGGAAGATGCAGGTGTTTGCTTGAACAGCTCAACCTACCTTAAATGTTTGTGACTTTGAGAGAGTAGAGTTGACCAGCGTCACTCTAGGGCTTGTTTTTTTACTTACCTGTCAGCCCATTTCCAAGATTTTAATTGGATTAGGATTGACTGCTTTGCGTCAAGAAGAGACCGTCTGCTGGTGTCTGCAGAAAGAAAGTTAAAGGGAAATGTGTTGTCTTAAAAAGAAGACAATTTAATGAAGTAAGACGTTTTGTCACAGATGGACTTGTTTTTAATTATAAAAAAAAAAAAGTATATGAAGAATACCACGTCTTTCATTTCAAAGACTTGGGGACACTCCTGAAACTAACAAACTTTATAAAAAAAAAAATAGATTGAGAGAAAAGTGAAATGTTGAAGGAAATTCCTTTCTTTTTATTTATTGTCTTATGTTTTCCAAACTGCCTTGTGGGTGTTTCGGCCCTCTTTCTGTCTCTGTTGTTTTTAGTGACCCCCATAACAAATGCCTTACTACTTCCAATGTTTTACATGGGACTCGTGAGGAGGTCTCAGGTTCCATGTTGCTACTGTTACAAGAGGAGCAGCTCATGATTGCTTAGCTCGCCTGTTCCGCCCCTGGTTTTATCAACAGCAATTGGTACATTCCGAATTTATAAACCGGGCTTTTGAGTGACACACACATACAATGAGATTAGAAGTTTTACAAATTTTAGTGATATTTATTTAGTCTAGCAGTCAGAAACAGATTGGCACATGAAAACAGAGCTATATAGAGACCAACACAAGTGAAATATTCTGATTTAAAATGATTTTATACATGTTGTAAAAGTATTTGTATGAATGTAGAGGGGCATCTGTGAAGCACTTCAAGGGGAAAATCTTGAGAGAGAGATGGTAAGAAAACCCTGAAATCCTAGTTCAGCATTTATAGCGACAGTGCATAAAAGCGCCTCCCGAAAACAGGCCAGTGTTTAGAATGTTTTCAGTGTTGTGTTGTATCAGTGGAAATGATTTTACTGAACATAGTTTCTTCAGTGACCTCACCGACTTACAAAGGCCTGAGCTGGCCAATGCTCTACCAGCTCCCTCTCAGAATCCCTGCCAGTCACTGCCTTATAGTCTTGCCTTGTGTACATTTGTTTTCTTTTTATAACCACATTTTTGGAACCACAGTTAATTGTGGAACATTGATGTATTAAGCTGTGTTATTAGGCTGCTGCTCTGCGTCACTTCTTCGGTGACACTCAACTTCCTTTCCGCGAACATTCCTGATCGGACCCCACCAGCCGGCGCTCGTGGAGCCGCTGACCGCTGCGGAACTGATCTCATCGCGTTCCTGGTCCCTCACGAGCACTTCATTTCAGTACTGAACAGCTGCAGCTGACATTTGGCCACTAGAAAGTCTTCCTCTGGGGCCTTACGAAGCCAAGGCAGTGTGGTTGATTTATTTTGATGTAATTTGATCCCTCAGGTCCAGCATTTCCATGTGGTCTAATCATATTCGAGCTCCTTTTGGTTTGGGTTGTGAGCATATGTGTTGTGTGTTGGGTACAGGGCTAACGGGGTTGCTAATGGTCTGCTAGTGCTCTGTCACTCCTCAGGGAGGTGTTATATAGCATGCAGTGTTGTCTGCATCTTTAGCAGTTCCCACCCCATGAGCCTAGACGATGACATCTGTCGTTTCTGGTCAGAAGGCGTGAGACGGGAAACGCTACTATGTAGTGATGCCCCTGGCTTTCTGCAACATGTTCGTATGTTCATCCCCAATAACATTCCCAACTGCAAGATCTGCATTTGGCGACACTCACATGTGTTTTCCAATTTGTCTTGCTATTGCCAACAGAAAAGTGTCCATTTCACTAAACTATGTTATGTATACATAGCATATGGGTTTGACAAATATCTGGCACAAATACGGTGTATGAAACTGTTAAATCTTCATGTACCACATTTCAAGACTTGAGGTGGTTTTGGAGCACATTCTGGACCTCTTTGTTCTTCTACATAAGTACTACTAAGCTTAGCTTATCAAGCATAAGTCTTCCTTTTGTTCATAACCTTTCACTTCTCATGATATTTTTGAAATTCCAGTACCTGTAAATATGTTTCACCTTTTTTTAGGTCTACTTGTTTATGAGAAGTCTTATGTTTCTAAAATGATTATGTACTAAAAAAGAACAAAAAGTAAATGTACTTTTTTATTAGCATTATTAAGGTGAGGACGTGACTATATTGGTATAACTAGAACAGCCATAGATATTTTCTATCGTCATTATTAATTTCCTATACTTGTTTAAAAGTAGTTTAAAATCATTGTATATAAACAGCTTTTCACAGTTTCTTTCTACAAAGTTGTAAAATATGTTACTTCTAATAAAGCAGTAGAAACTACATTCCACTAATGTCTTATTCTTTCTCTCAACGCATTCACATTTCCATGCATACTAAATCCAGATCGCTTAAAAATACAGCCATGAGCTGCGGGTCCAACTTGAAACATGCGGATGTATGTATAGCTACCAATTTCCTCCAGAGCTAAAGAAGTGTATTTAAGAGGTAAAGTTTGGAATAAGAAAGAAGATAATGTAGGCTACAGTCAATCGATCATTAACGCAACAGACTTTTAACAATAACAGTCATTTACTTTGTGATAATCAACTACTTTACTGTACATTGTCCTCTCAATGTGGGAAATGAACTTTTTTTTTTACCACTAGTCATAGTTACTTATGAACTTACTGAACACTTTTTGTCAAATATCAACCCAAAACATCTAGGCCTACTTCACGATGCTTATAATGAAAATAGACACACTGGCTGCATCCGCAATCACACACTTCCCTACTATATAGTAGGCGAAACAGTATGTGTCAAAAGAAGTATGTCCGAATTCACAGTTTTCATAAGAGTAGCAAAAAGTACCCGGATGACCTACTACTTCCAGTGAGATTCTGAAGTGTGCATACGATGAACACTTTACTATCCCATCAGGCCACGGGAGAGGATTTATGAATGGAGGTGAAGCGACTCAACTGATGCTCGTAGTTCACATGATAATGACAACATGGCGAATGTAGTGTGTCCAGGTTATATAGAACATACTTTTTGCGGTCGTGAAGTAACTATTTATTCAAAATAAGTACCTACTCAAGAGAGTATGCGATTTCGGACGCAGACAAAATCTGACATCGACCGTGATATTCAGTTGTGTGTGTTTGCAAGTGTTGTCCATTGCTAGTCAACCACATAATGGACCCAATCTACTCAATAATTGAGATTAATTTAGCCACATAAATAACCTGCATTCAAAGGTGGTGAGTGACTTTTTTTAATAAAAGAACAACTACAACTACAGCACTAATTTATATATATGTGCCATATGAATTGAATCCCCAATTGAGCTTGAGCAGTGCTGCTGTGTTGAATCATTATTACATCACAATATCTGTCCTCTATACCCTGCACAGGAGAAGCCTATTCCAAAACATTTAAATACTTTCAATCTCTTTAACAACATTCATTGATTAACGTTTTTCATGTTTTATTTCATGAGCTACTTAAAACATTTGAAAATATTGGCCCGGTTTCACAGACAGGGTTTAGATTAAGCTTTAGTTCAATTAGCACATTTAAGTAGCTTTTATAAATGTGCTTTAGAAAAAACATTACTGGTGTTAATCTTGAGACAAAACAATGGCACTGACGTGTTTTAAGATATCTCAGTGCAAGTTGCTTAAAACAGCATTTTAAACGTGCATTTTAGTCTGGGACTATCTTAAACCTCTCTGTGAAACCAGGAGAGTGACTCTGTTATACACAGCATTTTCTAACTAAACATTATGTGTTTGATCATTGTTATCACTTTTGTCTTGAGGTTAAAGTTAGAACAACGCTGCAAGATCCAGATTTTACAGTGGACATCAAGTGGCGACCAATCACAGCCTCAAAAATGATTGCTATGCTAACTATGGCTTGTTGCATTTTATGATTTTGCATTGAGCAAAATTCCCGAGACCTATCAGAACTGGCCGTTTTTTTGTTACTAAAATGCTACAGCTGTAAAGTGGATCAGAATCCTCTCTCCTCAGGGATCTTTAGGCAACACCTTGACCCATTCTCCTGTGTAGGAAGCGCATAATACTCAGACTAGCATTGAACACGCGGTCATGCTGGAAGATCATTTTATAGAACGCGTCTATGGGTAGTCGCCCTGTGGGGTCAGCGTGCTTCATGGCAGTCAGTGGCATGTACAGACGGTTGGTCTGATGACGAAATGGAGGATTCTTGGACACAATCAGCTGGAAAGTTTGCTGTAAGCAATGAGACATTTTCATGTCACTCATTTAAGAACAGGGAGCCTCAACTACTAAAAGGACAGCCCATCCACACTCTCACCTCTGCCACCTCTTTAGGTGTCTGCCCGATCGAATGAAAAACTGCGCGCGAGTATGGCAGGTAGATCTGACGGAAGATTTGAGCTGTCTCTTCATCAGCCTCTGACAGGTCCATCTTCTCTGCCTCCTCATACACTTTCTTCTCAAACTCAGTTACAACTGGGCCTGGCTCCACTAAAGTCATCCTGTGGGAGTTGCATATAAGTCACACTTACAATGCATGAATGTTTTTACATCTATAAAAATTAAGTAACCATGTGTATTGTGTAGTGTATTCAACCCTACAATGCATTCCCGGCATGCTGTGATTGTTTTAACCCTTATGTTGTGTTCGGGTCATTTTGACCCAGAGAGGATTTCTTTTGCCCGAAAATGTCAAGCAGTTTCAAAAATAAATACGAAACCTGTCTTAATTGAAAGAAAACAACTTTGAATCCAATATTTGGTGATAATATAGCATGGCGTGAGATTTATAAGCTACTTTTTGTAGTCCGTTCGTTCACCAAAAGTGTGACTTTGTTCCATTTTGTACAATATAAAAGCATTTCAAAACAAGCTTCCTGGTTAAATATTAAAGCACACTAGTGTGATAAACTTAACAATTTTTTTCCTATTAAAGCACACTAGTGTTATAAACGTAAGAATTTTTTTCCATATTTTCTGACAAATATTATCCACAAATAATGTTGGGGGGGGGTTTTTGTCTCTGATTTGGTCTAGTTAACTCAGAACTATTTCTGTGTACTCACTTGACATTGAACTTCATAGCTTGCACAGCAACACTCTCACAAAAACCTTCAACAGCAAATTTGGAGGCAGCATATATATCATTGAAAAGTAGTCCTAAAAAAAAAAAAAAAAGAGCACTCTGAAAATAACAGTGTACAGTAAAGGTAAAACATGTGCATTTAACATGTGTACTGCTTATAATAACTGAGATATGTGGTATTACCTTGGATTCCCAGGACGCTGCTCATCACTACGATGTGTCCACTCTGATGTCGCTTCATATCAGGCAGCAATTCCTTCACCAGTCTCACCAGGCCAAAGAAGTTAGTGTTGAAGAGTTCCTGCATAGCACTTACACTCTGGCACTCCAAAGGACCGATCATGCCCACACCGGCATTATTCACTACAAAACAGAGCGGTTGAGTCTCAATCAAGCAGGATGTGGACGATTGTTCAAAGCATTTTGCAGTGTGTAGTTTAAAGGGATAGTTCAGCCAAAAGTAAAGAAATCTGTCATCATTTACTCACCCTCGTGTCATTTCAAACCTGTGGAACATAAAAGAAGATATTTTTGGATGGAAGTCAATAGAAACCAAAACTCTTTGGTTACCAACATTCTTCAAAGTATCATCTACAGAAGAAAAATAAATCATTAAGGTTTGGAACGACATGAGGATGAGTAAACAATGACAGAATTTCCCTTTAAAACAAAGGTTCAGTAGGTACACCACACGTACGTGTGTGTGTGTGTGTGTGTGTGTGTGTGTGTGTGTTCATGTTTATATTACATTGTGGGGACCAAATGTCCCCACAAGTATAGTAAAACCTGAAATCACCTACATTGTGGGGACCAGCCAGCGGTTCCCATGAGGAAAACAGCGTATAAATCATACTAAATAATGTTTTTTGAAAATGTAAAAATGCAGAAAGTTTTGTGTGATGGGTAGGTTTAGGGATAGGGGCAGAATATACAGTTTGTACAGTATAAAAACCATTACGCCTATGGAGAGTCCCCACAAAGATGTGTGCGCCTGTGTGTGTGTGTGTGTGTGTGTGTGTGTGTGTGACAGAACAAAGTTTTATTGTAATTTGATTAAATTGTTTTTGAAATGTTAAAGTCCGGGATTATGATTAGTCAGCAACAAATCTAGTAAAAATTGTAGGGGTGTAACGATACATTGTTATATCGAGATATCGCGATATTTCAAAATACGTATCATGATGTAAACGATATGATTCGCAAGACTCAGCTTACTGTGCTTACTTTATAAATTATAGTTCACCTTTGGGTAATAAATATGTAATAAATTGTAAATACTGTCATCATGTACTAACCCTCATGTCGTTTCAAAACCTATATGATTTTCGTTCATCTTCCAAACACACATGAAGATTTATTTTTTATGAAACCTGAGAGATTTAAAATGCACATATTGTAGTAAACACGGACGTTTAAATGGAGGCGTAAGTGACATGTGGGTGAGTTAATGAAGAAAGAATGTAAATTTTTTGTATGAACTAAAAAAAAATTGGGAATAGTCATTTTTGAACGCTTTGCGTTTCGAACTGGAAAAAAAAAATAAAAAATGAAAGTATACAGAGTTTCAGTAACAGTACTACATTCAACTACTATATTTAATGTTGAATATACTGTATAATAATGAATTTGTGAGTCCATAATGCCAAATGTCCGATTTTACCAGTAAAAAAAGTACATTATTTATAAGTAGTTGGTGACAGAGAGCAAGTAACTGTGTCTAACATAATTCTGTATTAAAATGTTCTCTGTATTTAGTACAGAGAACAGTACATTCTTTGTTAACTTGTTCCCATATGTCTTAGAAGTAATAACTATAATATAACCCTCTTCTTTATTTTGGCTTAAAGTATCGCGATAGTATCGTATCGTGACATGAGGGTATTGTTACACCCCTAAAAAATAGGCTTTGGCAAGTAAAAAAAAAAAGATCACATAAACTGTGAAAATGATCATAGGACCCTTGCCGATACAAGTGATACAAGTGACTCAAATCAAAGAGGAATAATCCTGATATTATGGTATAATTCATAAAACTTTAGTTTGAAAATAAGCTATGAGGAGATCAACTATTTTTGCTGTAAATCTTGCATCATCTAAACGGAAAAGACCATATACTCAAAAGACACTGAGCTACTGTTTCCAACGCTGCATTGCTCAGGAATATTTGTTGAGAAGGAAACTGTGGATTTCACCTAACACATCCACTCGTCGATCTGACAAGCCGTTGACACACTCTCTGATGGAGTCCTCACAGGTGGCATCCAGCTGTCGGATCTCCAGGGATCTGTTCAGTGTCACTCCGGCTGCTGTCTCCAGAGCCGCTCTCTTATCCAGGTCCCTCATGGTGGCCACAACTAATTCAAGCAGAATCAATAGTAGCACTTTAAGAAACATTATTACATAACAGAACACTTATCTGATCATTAGTTAATGTACAGTACACATGTAACGGAGGCCAGCTAGTAAAGAGCTGTGCGAGTAAACCACTGGCCTCAAGAGACGCACAAGCGACTGACGGAGGGTTTATATGTACTTTTATAAAACTTTAATTCAAATATTTATAATTCTCCTTCCTGATGCACTGGCATCATGATAAATCTATATTTAACATTCATATGCAGTCTTCTTACCTTTGAAGCGCCTATCTTTTGCGAGACGGACAGCCACCGCCAAACCAATTCCAGAGGAGCATCCTGTCACCAAAACTTTCCGTGTCCCCATTCCTTTCTCTCAACGCTGATCTATAGTCTGGAATCATAATAAAAGCAATACACTTCCCTTACGAAAAAATAAGTATAATTGAAGTTAATTTTATGAAGTATTATGTTTAAGTATACTTTATGTAGTATGTATATTAGTATCAATGTACTCGTAGTAAACTTGTAAGTGTACTATTTCAATACGGCTTTGGACTAAATTGGCCCACTTTTTAGTACATAAAAGTATACGTTTAAGTGTAGGTTACTATAAGTGTAACAGTAGTAAACCAAGTTTCTCATTTGTACTTCATCTGTACTACAAGTGAATTTATAAGTATATAGACCTACTAGTAGTTTACTATTTTAATACTTGTAGTAGGCCTACATTTTTTTGTTTATGAAAGTACACTTTGAAGTGTTCTCTCAGTAAAGTAGTTTAGTAGTTTTATACTGCTGCAAGTATAGGCCTACTTGTACGTTTTCACAAACGTCAACGTTTTTAAGTGTCCACAAATCCCTCATTAACAAATAGACAAAAACTTAAACTTGGACACAAAATGAGATCAATTAACCGTAAAGACCAACTGTTTCAGGTGACTAAATCTCACAAATGTTGATATTCATATGAAATGACAAAATTAAAAATCGATTAAAATTTTTATTAAAATAAATAAACTTACCCTACATTTACAAGCAACTCCACAAAATGATGCAACGCTTAGTTTAAGTGAGTAACACTGTAACTGTAAAATATAGCCTAGTGTCAGCTTACTAAATGTAGAGCACGCTGAGGGGTTTCTGCTCTACAGATTAAATCTTAAATTAATCGGATTTGCTCAGCACTTGGAGCGCTCGTTTTAACTGGTCAATTACAATGCACTAGCGCTGTGATGCGATTTCACATCTAAAACCGCACAAGTTATATTTTTTATAAAACTCGTCACGTTTTAATATGAAACATTCAAAATGACCGTGACAGTTATTTGCAGTGCGTGAAAAACAAAACATGAGAAACATGAGCTACACAAGCGGTTCAACTTCAGACTAAACCTGTTTGAAGTGTTCTGGGACGTGTAGCCTACTTACTGAATGCTACTAAACCGAAGGTTGTTTGCAGTAACGTTACAGTAACAGACCTGTGTCCTGCTGACAGTCCGGCTCTTCTCATCCACAAACTCTCCTTTCACCCGGAGCGCGTGAGTTGAGTCTGTGATCAGTCATGTTGCAGAGGTCGCGTTTGTGTTCAGGGAACCCTGGGATTTGAAGTCATTGACTGTACAGCAACATAATAATAATAATAATAACACCAATAATAATCAGTGTTGCTGGAAGTTCATTTTAAAAGTAATACGATACAAATTGCCTGAAAAAAGTAACTAAATGCGTTACTTTTTTATGTTAAAGTAATGTATACTTTTGCATACATTTTTCTTACCTGGGCTGGGTTTGCGTTTTTGTTTTTAATTTTTTTTTAAACACACCAATAGGTATATTTTTGGCTAATGTAGATCATGGCCCACTCACACCAAAAGTGAAATGGATAAGCCTCAGGCTGAAGGAAATGCAAATTTCCTCCTGTACAGTAGAGGGCGCAGCTCAAACAAACCTTTCAGCTGTGCTGCCATTCTGTGTCAGAATGAGTTTTATGGTTTTATTGCCAAGTATGTTTATGCACACAAGCAATTTGTCGTGGTGACAGGAGCTTCCAGTGCAGAAGAAAAGTATAGACATAGTGCAGACTTATACACAGTAGAGGCAATATAACAATAATATAGGAAATAAAAGTTTAAATGATGCAATATAATACAGTAGGCCTAGTAGAAATATAGAGATTTTTTTGTGTGTTTTAAATGATGAAAAAATGGTTTATCTAAAGTCGTTTTTGCTTATTAGTAGTTTAATTGGATTATTGAAGATCTCTGGTGTGCAATGAATTCTGGGGTAGGCAAGGCAGCGAAGGATCCATCTGTTGTATCCTTCATTTCACAGGAAACGAAAGACGCATTTGAAGGAGTTGTCAAATTGGGATAGTCTTCGTTGTGCCGATGTGACGCAATCCGCCTTCGAATGCGGCCTCCGAATAATGTAGCCTCTGAACTGGGACGCAGCTAGGCTAACTGAATTAGTGAATCAGTAAGCAAATCAGAATGATTCTTTTTAGTAAACCAGTGGCTGTATTACAGAAATGTCCTATCTGAATTCTTGACTTAAGATCTAAAAAAAAATTCAGTGTATTAAGTGAATCTGCTACAATTAGGATACTAAACAGGCATGATAGGACTGAGGATGTAGTCTTAGATTCAAAAGATTTGAATTTGAATCACTGTGAATGATTAATCGAAATCTTGTGCTGAATTCAGAGCCGCATACTAATAGCATACTACTCTTACTGTTTTTGCCATAGAAAGATAAGGTAAAAGTAGTATACTAGTATAAGGTTCTGTATTCAGTATTACACTTTTCATGAAAAGTCAAGAGTGCTCTTAGTTTGTGCTCGGTTTACAGCTGGACTGTGGCGGCCTCTAGTGGTCATGTTGTGGTATGTCTGATCAAACCGAAAGTGATCAGACTAACAGACTGAAGGAGACGGTGCAACACTAAAAGAGGTCTAGCGCTGTTATTGATACGAAAACCGAACCCTGAACGAGATGAGTCAAATGCGTGAAGAAGTAGAGGTACAGTATTCATTATTCCGACAATAAAGACAAAGCGTATGATATTTTATTTGAGACAATATGACATAATGCTATTAAAGGAAGTACGGTGCAGTATAGTTCAACTTCCTTAAAATCTCTGTGCATATTGCATATAATATAGGTTAAAACGTTTTCATGTTTTTCCTGCATATAATCACCTTCGTATAGGGAAACTGACACGAGTCTTTCACCCTGTGGTTGTTCTTTCAAATTAAGATAAGTAGCCTAATTGTAAATACGTTTTCTCTCCTTATGCAGTTGGAAAAAAGTACGAGGCGACTGAGAGAGAAGTTTTATGGTCTTGTTGAAATTGACAAGGCTGTATTACTCATGCGACGCTATGGGAACAACCATCGTATGGTTGCAATGTGTGTCGCCCTAATGGCAGATAATGACAGGGGTAAAGTGCAAACCTTTTCTCTTAAGAACCATGTCTAATAAATGTATTACTGTATTTGCCCGTACTCACTCTGCCATTATGCAAGAATGTCTAGTTCTGTGTTTTTAGTTTGTGTCGACAGCACACCTAATTTATTACCTGCATTTTTATGTGTAGAGCTGGACGAGGAAGACAAGTCAGCTTTGAATAATGACCCTGTGGCTAAGGTATGCTGCATATGACATTAGGTACATTATGTACATTTATGGAAAGGGTTTGTAGGTGTATTTTGAAGCAAAAAGTATTTGGACACCACTTAAAATACATGAATGTGATTGTTTTTGTAATGCAACGAAATTCATTCATTTTATATGTGACTTAAAGGCAGGGTAGGTTATTTGTTCCAGAAACATTGGTTGTTATGCTGGTTTAAAGTCTCTTCACGACCTGATAGCAATCACTAGGTTAAGTGGTCTAAATGTATGTATGCATATATATATATATATCGTCTGTGGAAGGCGTAGGACCATAAAATGTTTGTCCAATCATTGCATTCGGTCCAAATGCAACGATACGATGTCCCACCTGCCTGTGAGCGTATGTATTTCCACACTTTCGTGCACCTGCTCACACAGACATCACTCGTCATCAGCGTGTTTCATGCTATGAGTTAGACAGACATTAGTCACGAGCACCGCGAACGAAACAGCAGCCGCCTTTTACAGTTCCTCCTGAACCAAAACAACCAGCTTATGCTGCGTTCCCACTATAACTACAGTAATTTGGAAACCCGTGACGTTATACTCTGAGCGGTTCGTGACTCAAATTTATCTGTTTCAATGGCAACACCATCAACGCCAAAATGAATCTTCAGCAGTCAGATGGTACAGGCGTGGCTTTGGAGACGCTCTAAAGGGAGGGTGGGATCTTATGCTTTCAAAGCTAGCTCGCTATTGCTAGCCTCTCCGAAAATTGCCTACCCTACCTTTAAGTGTTCATATACTTACTGGGGTCACTGTATTTATAATCCTGTTACTCATTAACACATTTTCTGCTCTCATATAGAATGTGATTATGAAACTCAAAGCTGATGAAAAACAACAGGTAACAATCCAAACCATCTCTTAACGCCCTGTAAACAATCTTAAATGTTCTGTTACATGATTTCTGAAAATGAAAGTACCAGTTATAGTTTTTAATCGTATAATGGTGATAGTCAAGATGTGATCATCAAAAATGTATAGAAAGAAAAACCTGCCGAGTCATCTGGATCCTCTGGTGCAAGACCATCAGCACAAGTAAGAAGGTGTTTCCCTATTCGGATGTGGATTTACAGGACAAATGAAACATCATGTTACACTGTAGTCTTACCGCATCACTCCTGTTCCACTTAAGGCTCAGGGAAAGGAGAAGGAAAAACCCGATGATGATGATAAGGATATAACGGTTAGTTTCTGTGCATTGTTTGCTTAAATTATAAATTGTACGAATTAAACCCCAAAAAAAGTGTTGGTGTACAGTGTGAACTAACATGCACAGACATGCTTGCAGGATCTTGGGGATCGTCTACGGGTTCTGCCATTAACAGAAGAGAACAAACGAATGTTTGACCTGGCGCAGGCAAACCAGATCCCTTCTGTCATCCATCAGTTTGCCTGCGAGTCATGTGACAGGGACTGGTGGCGACGTGTGCCTCAGAGGAAAAGGGTATGACGTCTGAAAACGCATCTTAAAAGCTCAAATCACATTTAGTTAAAGCTGCTGTCCGTAACTTTTTTAAGTTAAAAATAATCCAAAATAATTATATAAAAAAAAAACATATTCTGCCAGTGGTCAAAACTATCTGCTTGCCATAGCTAGATTCAAAACGGTTAGCTTGTAATAATGATTTTAATTCCAGTGGTACTGGTGGGTTTCCGCGGGAAATTCGAGCATGTCTTTGCGTCATTACGTCACACCCGTACACATAAAGAAGGAGTTTCGGCTAGCCGGCTATACTGCGCGTGAGGAGATGTTTAGATGTATAGGCTTTTCTCGCAGGCGCAGCACTTTACATAATTAAACTTATGGCATCCAGAAAGATCCAGACAACAATCATCAGTGTCAACTGGAGATTCAGCAGTTATAAAACCCAAAAGACTTCGTACTTCGGATTTAAGGTGGCTAGAGAAAGAGAAAGAAACCGTCTCATGCGAACACAAGGATTTAAACATCGGCGGTGCTTTTGAAAAGTGCGTGAACTCCGTGTTTTGAAGGGGTTCAAAACGGAAGAAGAGACGGCTTTTTTCTGCTGAACAAGTAAGACATTTCAATAGTTCAATCGTGTAACAGTACGTTTTCTTAATTCACACAGTTATGGAGTTTCCTTTGTTGTGCCTTTCTCGTTTTGCTATTATGGAGAATATGAATTCTGAACTACACAGGTAACCATAAAACACATTAAATTTAACATTAGTCACGCAATGCTGATGTGATGTTGTTAACATGAACAATTTGAGAACAAAGTAGGCTATACTTTGCACGGTTGCTGTAAATCGCGTTGATTAAATCTAACGAAGCTTATCATGTCGAATACTTTTTCCCCCTTAGTTGGTCAGAACAGAAATGGATTTTACTTACTTGTTCAGAAGACATTTTCTTATGAAAATTCTTATGTTGGTCAAACTTTCAAAAAGTGAATCTGTGATTCTGTATGACAGTATCCACACAGCGCGGTGACTGACAGCAGCACTCGCCTCAAAGCACTGTGTTCATCCGCGCTGTTTCATGCCGATTTACAACCCACGTAAAGATGATAATTCCGCGAATCACTGCAGTTACAGATTTCGAACAGAGATGGCGACAAAGAGGAAAAGCTACGGACTGCAGCTTTAAATCAGCCTCAGCTGTTCCCAGTCACACCTCAGACATGTCATGGTCTAAACTAAATTGTAATAAAAATTGAAAATGTTTAGCATTTATCGGTGTGCACTTGGCTTGTTATAGGTGTCGCGCTGTCATCGATGCAAGAAGAAGTATGACCCTGTCCCAGCCGACAAAATGTGGGGTATAGCAGAGTTTAACTGTCCAAACTGCGCTCGGGCCTTCAAGTAAGACTTTAACTTTATGTATAGTAAGTGTGTGTGTTTTTTTGTTTTGTTTTTTCAGTTTTAAACATCGATTTTAAACGTGATGATGCTTTTTTTTCTGCATGATGACGAGTATTGTATTAACATTTAATGTTTTTGTTAGGGGTTTTGGTCGGATGGATGGACGTTCCCCTTGTTACGGCTGTCGCTCAGCCATTTTCCCCTCTAAGATTCTTCCACCAAGGAGGAGGGGCATGACACCTGGGCCTAGACAAAGAAATCAGCACAGCTGCCTTGCTGAAGACTGTTATAATCGAATGGGTAATAAGATGCCGCTAGAGGTCTTGCACAGTGTCCCTTTTATGCTATTTTATACGTTCCTAATTTTGTTTTGAAGGCCTCCTATAATACGTTTACATGCAGCCAAGGTCAAAAAAACACTTTATTTTTCTCATAATGTACATGGCACATCATTACCTCTTGTCTCAGAGTGTCTGAAACTGCTCGAATTCAGTCTCTCTAAACCCCCCTTTCCGAGAGCTTCCTCTGCTCTGATTGGTCAGACGGCCCAGTCTGTTGTGATTGGTCGACCGCTTACAGTGCGCGTCGGAAACCAAATGTCAATTAGCATATCTGAATTTCAGCTGCGTATCTTCCTCATGCACTTGATACACAGTGATAGAACAGTAACGATGGAGTCGGTTTAACCTTATCAATTTGAGTCCTCATCCTTTGGAAGTGCAGCAAAGTGCATTTGCTTTGTCAGCACAGAAAACAGCGTCTTCTCGACATGTCGACAACACGAACCAAACTCTTCCAGGCCTCAGCTACAACTGCAGTGTTGAGGGTGGGTCAAAGTAGACGCTGTTCGTGGGCAGCCAATGAGGGCCGTCACAAGTTTGAACTTGTTGAACTTCACAAGTTTGTGTCAAGATGTTTGAGAATAACCCTTGAGCTTCAATGAAAGCAAGAACATTTTTTCTTCTGCACAAAGAACTCACATGATGAACATCGCAAATGTACGCACATGACATGCAGGGGGAAAAGTCTATATATTGTGGCCATTAATTAAGAAATCACTCCCTCGTTTTATCCACTTGTTTTGTTTGTCCTTGTAGCAAATCATGACCACATTGTAATAATTTGTTCCCTAGTTTTAGTTCAATCAAAACGATTAGTACAACCTAGCCACGAGTTACAAAAACATGGGAACGAAATACTAATTGGTGGCCACAATATTTGTGAAATAGAATCATATTTTCATATTATAATATTTCTTAGTTTAAAATGGTTCCGAATCCTAAAAAATATTTATTTACAGGTTTACGTTAAAGTTATCAGACTTTTAGACCTCGTTATGGAAGTGAAATGGGTTGTGAATGCCATTTCATGTTGATTTTGAATATTAAGCACTCGTGTGTGTGTGTGTGTTTAAGCAGAACTGCATGTGTATGACCAGCTGCATGTTTGTCTCATCTAGAGCCCCATGTGCCTGGTACCGAATGCGTTCACCCGCACAGCAGACAGAAGAACAGAAAGCCACGTGTGGTGTTCCCCAGCCCCGCTCACATCAGCAGCGGATCCACCGTCAACACCTGTCTGAGTCAGGGCAGTCTGATAGAAAGCATCGACCAGCTCATTCTAGATGACATTGAGGAAGAGTCTGACGAAGACTCTGACAGCAGCAGCTGAGACAGCAGCGGAAATCAGTGTGAATGACTGACGTCGCTTTGAACCAAACATGCTCTTTCAAATGATTCACTCAAAGGTGTAAGCAGCCTGAATATTGACATATGTCATGCACTGCAGGCTGTATGAACACACACCAAACAATTCAGGTAAAACAATCAAAATAAGGAATGATTGACGATGGACCAGTTAATGCACAGCTTGAGGTAGTAATTTTGCCAAAACGTGAAGCTGTGTGTGTGTGAGAGAGTGAGCATTTGGTTCTCTCAGCCATACAGATGAACCTGTATTGAAGTCAACAAACCCGGAAATACTTAACAGTGGGAATGACCAATAGGAATCAAGCATTCAACAGCCCTGATATAATGTTTATCGCATAGCTGATTTGAAAGGACAAGTCCAGATTTTGTGTTTTAACGTCACTCATTCACTAATTACAACTTCTCCTTCTTCTTTGACCTCCACCATATTTAAATCAGTATATTTCCCTCTCACATGACTAGTGATCAGCCATTGTTAGGTTCGTATCAAAGGATCCATAAGCCACACCTGAGAATAATCTTAAAATTACATGATATGACACCAAAGAACAGAGCATTCCAACTTTTCAATAGTCAATTTCCACATGCCTAAATGGCCATCTTTGTTTTTCCTAAGTCTACATTTCTCTCAAAACCTGTTTTGTCAGAGATTACACTCTTAACAACTATCAAAAGACAGGCATTCAAAGAAAAAAGCAGTCCGCTCGTGATTAATAAAACAGGTTTGCTGTTATGCCAGCCTTATGTAACAAGCTGTTATGTATAAGCATTACATGGCGAACTCAATTTCGGGGAGACAAAAAATATGTTAAACCTACCATTAATGTGTCAAAATAAAAAATGATCTGGAATGAGAATAGTTTTGTCTTTAGTATTACATCATAACTTTAGATAATGTTGTCTTTGCGTGATTACATTGGCAAATAATCTTAACAGATGTGGAATGAACTCTTTTGGTGTATGATGACCTGTACAATTCATGAAACAAGACACCCAGCTACACCCACACTTGTTAAGCCATTACGAAACCCTAAGCAAAAGATTTCCGATAGCATAAAGACTAAACAACAGGAGACACAATAGTTTCCTATAACATTTGAATGCAGCCTGAACCATTTTCCCAAGAGATCTCTATGTGACCATCAAACGAGGTCTAAAGTTTTGTGTACACAGACTATGAAATGTGTTGTCCTTAAAGAGACATTAAAGCAAAAAGATTTGCATTTACAGAACTGTATATATGGGCTAACAAGCATTTATCAAAGGCATAAAGTTGCAGTTTGACACCTGAAAAAAAATATATTCCTCTTCTACTCCAAGAAGTTAAGCAATATTGACATTTAGCCTACTTAAAACATCTGGATGACTTTCAAAATCACTTCTGCACACCATGAACAGAGCTGTGGTCAGTCTGCGGTCAAAGGTTATGTTTGCTCATTTCATCTATTCCCTAAACAAACAAAAAAAAAACGTTGTTTTCTGAGTACATAATCACAAATTATCCATTAAATATACGATGAACGTCATTAGATGTACAGTCAATATACAGTACTGTGTGGATAAACTGAAAACGTGACATTTCTAAATATTGCACACGGCTGCATTTGACAATCATATAATCAATTCAAAAGACCTTTCAACAACAAGGATAGAAAAAAGAAAAGAAAAAAAGATTAAATACAGTCCCTAGTGGATGAGACTCTCTTACTTAACATGCTTATATGACTGCAGGGCCGGGGTGTGTCCTGTAGGAGGGAACAGATTTCATAACATTACATGTATAAATAAGAGCCTGTAGGCACACGCACACACACACGCTTCCTCTCTTCACAGCCTGAAGTTACAGCTATCGACAACATGTAAGTACTGACACTTTTACGCTCTCTCTGACTACTAGAGTACCCTAAATGAAACCTAATTCTTTCTGTTTTTGCATGTTTTAAAGGATTTGCCTGACAGGGGTGACCGTGCTGCTCTTTGCATTGACTGTAGATGCAAGAGTCGGGTGAGATTCATGTTTGCAGTCTACACCAAAAACACTATACTGTACGTGCACTGGTGTCATATTTAATGTATTTTGTTTCCACGTCGCAGTGAATCCACTAGTGACAGTTTCTGCACTGAGACAAAAGAGTGCTTGCTGTATGACTTGGTGTGTGCCGGAAAGGACTATGAGGTGAGATACAAGATCATAAAGAGATTGAGTATATGGCTAGAGATGAAATGACCAGCTCAAACACATCAACCGGTGTGAAGTATGAAGTATTCTTCTCCTACAGGTACGTCACTATGGTGCCGTTAAGTGGGTGACCGCAGAAGCTGAATCCCTTTTCATGGACATTGCGATTCCAAGAGCGTTCAGGAAACTTTTTAAATACATCACCGGAGAAAATGAGGCTGGTGAGTTTGTGCGGGTCAGATTTTGCCTACATCGTGGGGTAGCAAATCTCTTTAAAACCTGACATCACTATTTTTGTAGGGACCAAAAAGATGAAAATCCCCTCATAATTTTACCGTCATGCCGTCCCAGATGTATATGACTTTCTTTCTTCAGATGAACACAAACAAAGGGTTTTATAAAAGTAATCAATGTGAGTCCATATAAATTATGCAAGCATGGGACCCCAAAACGACACAAAGTAAACAGACAGGAATCAATATGATCCAGATTGATGAATCTAAAGTGAAACGACGTGTGTGTAAGAAATATTTATTATGTTAATATTTCAACAAAAAAAAACTATAAACCATTACTTCAGGTTAGCTGTAATTTGTGTTCACTTTGGTTCATCTGAAGAAATAAAGCCATATATGTACACCTGGGAGAGAAGACGAACCCGACATTAGGAAATAGGCTACGTGAAGCTGAGTCTCGCGGACTCATCTGAAGTACAGAAAAGGCCCTGATCTCTAGTTGCATTTCATTATATAGCCAGACCTCATTTCATATGTAAACATGAGTTCACTGTGGAAATCTACTGTGATCACCCTCCCAGACTTACTGGGGGCAGAAGTTGATTTACATGGTAACATTTGCTAACAGTGGGAATTGGCATTGAGTTCACACCTTCTGAGAGCAGGAGGGTTTAACCATCCACCCTCCTTTGTGTGTATGTTATCTCTTAACTCTTAAAAACCTTATTACCTTTTGTTTTACTTGTTTGGAAATGAGACATTTGTACCAGTCGCACTGAGACATTTCGAATGATACTAAACATGTATATTACTCGATGATAATCATTCACCATTTAAACTATCTTGATTCTTGTGTGAGTTTGGGTAATCCCTGCATGGGGGATGAGGTGGAGTTCATTTTCAGCAAGGTCCTTCTTCCACTCGAGGAGTGGTAGTTCCTCAATCAGTTTTTCCAGTTTTTCCAGTCTTACAGTTGAGTAAATGCTGAATGAATTGTCAGGGTGGAGTATAATTCTTTGGGGGAGGGAGTATCGCTTTAATTAAAGGGACAGTTCATCTAAAAATGACAATTTTGTCATTACTTATTGACCCTCAAGTTGTTCAAAACCTGTATGAGTTTATTTCTTCTGCTGAACACAAAAGAAGATATTTTGAAGAATGTTGGTAACCAGACAGTTGACGGCACCCATTGATTTCCATTGTAGGAAAAACAAATACACTGGAAGTCAATGGGTGCCGTCAACTGTCTGGTCACCAACATTATTTTGTGTTCAACAGGAGAAAGAAACGTGGAACAAATGTTGGAACAATATTTTTGGGTGAACTATCCCTTTAAAATGCATTCAGTTTCCTATTTTTTTTGCCACAGATAGCAGGTGAAGGCAGCATAATTCTCCCGTTATCTTTAATTTACACTCTTCGAATCACTAAATTACACAACGCTACTATAGCGTTAGCGTACCTATATAATGCGCGCGAGGATTCTCTCCGACGTCTATAGTGAAACACAGCGGGTCAGGGATTTCAACATACCGATATTTTGTATAAAAACATGACTATAATGCTTAGACATTTTAATTCCCTTTATACTAAGTTATATTTTTCATTACTGTAAGATAGTGCGTTTTGTGTAAATACACAAATTAAACTACTACAAATACAGTGATGTAGCCTACAAATAGCATACCATACAATATATCATTACTTTTTCCCATTATACAAATGGAAATCATTTTATTTTTATTTACCCCGCAGGCCTAAAAAAAATGATGTTGCCTTAAACATTCAAGTTGGTTATACTTAAAAATTTAAGTCATTTCAACTTAAATTACATTAAACTGACTTTAAAAAAATGAGTTTAATCTTGTATGACTTATAAAGTTGAAAATTGCTTAATTTATTTTGATGAGTTGTAAAAACTTATGTTGTCATAACTTATTGATCATATTTTTTTTTACAGTGTATTTGTTTGTTTATATGCATTATGGTAATGCAAATTGGAGTCGGTATGTCCATAATATTGTGCGTTCATTTTGATTTTAGGGGTTTTTGAGGGAGTTCTTGACAAGTTTTGTGAGATTCGCCCTTATAATCAAATAATATGCCTCATTTTCTAGGGGCCAAGATTGACATGACAGCACCAGTCATCATTAAAGTCAATTCGAGTGTGACCATGTTCCAGTCCTCAGTCTATGTCCTCAGCTTCCTCCTGCCCTCCGCCTACCAGGCCAACCCACCCAAACCTACGGATCCATCTGTGAGTCTCTGGGATATTCTAGATATCATCCTCCCCCCTCCTCCTCTCTTTATTAACGATCTTGAATTCAATTTATTTGCAGATATACTTCACAGACACTCCGGATATGAACGTGTACGTCAGAAGCTACGGGGGCTGGATGATATCAGCCGTGGCCAAATCACAGTCTAAGAGTCTAAAGACATCGCTGGACAGTGTACAGGCTACATATGAGACAGAGTATTATTACAATGTCGGCTTTAACAGGTGCGCTTAGCTTCCAAATGATACCTCCATACATTCTGCCAATTACATTCTGTTATGTCTTCATTTCTTTTGTTTATTCTTGTGTCTGTATGTGTGTGTTTTGCAGCCCAATGAAGATTATGAACAGACACAATGAGGTTTGGTATATTGCTAAGGGTGAGCCTGTGTGTCCTAAGAGTGAATAATTTCTCCGAGGCTCCTCTCTAACAAGGTAAATAACCCATCTAAATAAAAAGTCTTACCATTAATAATCATTTGGAGGACTGTCTAATGTCTAACCATATATTTATTTGTAATATCTGTTTCAGAGCAACAGAGAACAGATCTGTATTACTCCTGAGTGCTACAGTCCTAACAAACTAGATTACCTTCTTTCTTTTTTTTATATGTACTTTGTACTATAGGATTTTGTACCATAAACACATTTTAAATGGAGAACGTTAAAAAAATGATGCCATTTGTCTAAGGAAAATGTCAAACGTTTAAAAAATGATGCCATTTGTCTAATGTCATACTCAAAAGAATGGTATTTTTTCTATAAGCATTTTATATGTTTTAAAAAATAAAATAGAAACATCATTATAAACATCTTGTGTATTGTATTATTATTTTTTTTACAATTAAATGTATATTGTATATTAATGTATAGCCAGTGCAGGTTAAAAAATGGCCACAATTGCTAAATTTGACAGACTAGATGCAGTTGGTGTCCAGTGGTAAAAAAAAATATATATATATATATTGTTATGAGGATGAGGAAGGATGAACCCAATAGCAGACAGTAGTCAAGGCAACACGATTTATTAAACAAATAACTGGGAAAACAAAGCCCACGAGGGGGCAAAACAAGACAGGACTATGAGACTAACTAGACTGAGACAGATAACTATAGGGACACAAATAACCTTTACAGGCAAAAGCGCAACAGGACTAAAACTCTTGACAAGATACTCACAGACTCTGACAAAGGTTTGACAAGGATTAACACTCAGGTAACAATCACAATGAACCGACAAAAGACAGCAGATACAAGAGGATTAAATAGGGAACACTAATGACAAGGACAGGTGAAACTGACTAGACAATAATCACAAGACGAGGATAACAAGGGGGCGGGGTAACGAGACGAGACAACACAAGCACATGGTCCAAATAACAGACCATGCGCTTGTACATAAAACATGATTCTGTCATGATCCTGCCTCACAACTAGGAAAATCAAGAATACTAAGGCAGAATCATGACAGAACCCCCACCTTAAGGAGCGGCTACCAGACGCTCCTCAAGGGGACATTAAACACGGGACATGACAGACTGTGACAAAGACACGAACCAACAAAACATGGAAAACACTAACAATGGCAAACAGGAATAAACAATAACGGGGTTCGGGTGAAAAATCAAAAACAACATACAAGGCAAAGGAAACACAGAGTTCATGGGGGGAGGTCCAGGGTGGATGGGAGGACTGGGGGTCTTGGGTCCATGGGAGGAGGGCTGAGGACGAGAACTCCGGGCAGGCTTGGACGGGGACACATGAGTAGAGGTCTTGGGAGAAACAGTCCGGGGTTTAATGGTGACAGGGGAAACAGACCGGGGACAAGTGGAGACAGGAACGAACGGTGAAACAGTCCGGGGACTAGTGGAGACAGGGACAAACGGGGAAACAATCCGGGGGCTAGTGGAAACAGGGACAGATGGGGAAACAGTCCGGGGGCTGGTGGAGACAGGGACGAACGGGGAAACAGACCGGGAATTAGCAGCAACAGATTCAGACGAGGACACAGAGGATGCGGAACCGGGGCTCCTGACGTGAGACATAGCAGGCAAAGGGGCAGGACAGGGTGCAGCAATAACAGCGGCAGGCTCGGGAGCAGCGCTCACAGGGATAGGATTGGGAGCTGAGGACAAGGCAGGACAGACAGGGGGTTCGAGAATAGCGACGAGACGAGACAGGTAATCGGAAAGGGTCTTGGCCGCAATGATGACGGGCATCTCCTGACGAGCTGAAACTGCTCGCAGAACCTCCTTAGCGGCTAGATCGGCCGCAACTCTCTCAGCGGGCTCTGGGACAGCGCTAGCTGAGGCGGGCTCTGGGACGGCGCTTGCTGGAGTGGGCTCATGGACGGCGCTTGCTGGAGCGGGCTCATGGACGGCGCTTGCTGGAGCGGGCTCATGGACGGCGCTTGCTGGAGCGGGCTCATGGACGGCGCTTGCTGGAGCGGGCTCATGGACGGCGCTTGCTGGAGCGGGCTCATGGACGGCGCTTGCTGGAGCGGGCTCATGGACGGCGCTTGCTGGAGCGGGCTCATGGACGGCGCTTGCTGGAGCGGGCTCATGGACGGCGCTTGCTGGAGCGGGCTCATGGACGGCGCTTGCTGGAGCGGGCTCATGGACGGCGCTTGCTGGAGCGGGCTCATGGACGGCGCTTGCTGGAGCGGGCTCATGGGAAGACAGAGACGGAGGACAAGAGGGTCCCTTCCTCCTCCTCTTCCTTCTGGGACGCGGAGCTGATGTCACAGCTGGACTGGAGATCGGCAGGAGAAGCGCAGCAGGGTCCATGACTGGAAGTGGGAGGGCTGTCTCAGGCAGGGAAGACTCCGTCGCTGAAGACTCCGAAGCAGACTCCCAGGAAATCCGTCTCCCTCGTTTTCCACGGAGACTTGCGGGTGTGGATGAAACCTCGGGAGTCGTGAGGGAGCCAGCCTGGTCCCCAAGCGTCGCGACGCCTATAACACGACCCTCCGGGATCACTGACAGCTTAGGTGATGGTGACGACAAGGTGGAACCCCGCGACTCCCTCCGTGACAAACAATCCACCATCTCACCAAACGGGCAGCAGACCAGCTTCTCCCGTTCAGCCAGGGGTGGAGGAGCGTTGAGACCCGCAATGAGGTAGCGGTTAAGGAGGATATCAGGTAGGAAAAGCCTCCTCTCGTTTGCAACCTGGGCGTACTCCCTCAGGGACCGGTCTCCCTGGGGAGGAATTGGCAGCTTGCCATTACTTGCATCAGAAATAGTCCTCCGCCACCATTGTGCAAGGTCATCCGGGTTATGCTCAACAAAAGAGGACATACTGTCTGCTGGGTTCCTTGTTGGTCGGTTCATTCTGTTATGAGGATGAGGAAGGATGAACCCAATAGCAGACAGTAGTCAAGGCAACACGATTTATTAAACAAATAACTGGGAAAACAAAGCCCACGAGGGGGCAAAACAAGACAGGACTATGAGACTAACTAGACTGAGACAGATAACTATAGGGACACAAATAACCTTTACAGGCAAAAGCGCAACAGGACTAAAACTCTTGACAAGATACTCACAGACTCTGACAAAGGTTTGACAAGGATTAACACTCAGGTAACAATCACAATGAACCGACAAAAGACAGCAGATACAAGAGGATTAAATAGGGAACACTAATGACAAGGACAGGTGAAACTGACTAGACAATAATCACAAGACGAGGATAACAAGGGGGCGGGGTAACGAGACGAGACAACACAAGCACATGGTCCAAATAACAGACCATGCGCTTGTACATAAAACATGATTCTGTCATGATCCTGCCTCACGACTAGGAAAATCAAGAATACTAAGGCAGAATCATGACATATATATTGCACAGAAAAAATGCGAACCCTTACTAAACTGTAGGCTGTGGAGCCAGAAACATTTACTGACGCACCGATTGTTTTATTAAGTGACCGTCAAATTTAAATGCTGGTTGCATTGTCCTGGGGTCAGTCCCAATTTGCTTTACGTATCTTTAATTATGTAGAACTATGCTTTATAGTTTTATTACATAATATATTTAAGTAAATTAATGCAGTATGCCAGTTTTTGGACATACATCATTATTTGATACAGGCATTTCTAGTACTATTTTCTCAGACATCAAAAAAGTGCTCAATTGATTTTAAAGATAGGAAAGTTTCATAAGAAAAAAAAACAGGTAAATGATTAGGCTGTCCATATATGAACGATCCATATGCAGAAGCTTTCAATGATAATCAACAGAGTAAAATTGTGTATTATAGTGCCACCTAGTGACACACGCTTTACAATTTCCCAAACAGAAAGAAAAAACAAAATGATAATAACCAAGCAGATTGCTTTGATCCTTAGTAATGATAGTTTTTCCACATTTTAAGTTTTAAATGTACTGTAAGTGTTTTAATGTAAATCATTTAAACTTAAATTACATTAAACTGACTTTAAAAAAATGAGTTGAATCTTGTATAACTTATAAAAAAGATGAAAATTGCCTTTTCATTTATTTTGATGAGGTATAGCAATGTAAAAACACGTTGTCATAACTTATGTCATAATTTTTTACAGTGTTGTATGCTGCAGATATTATGATAGATAATCGTGAAATATGTGGAACCAACCAGCGATTTGCATTAAAAAGATGCAAACATTTTTGGTTTCATTAACAGTCGAGACAATACCTCGTTTAATTTGTCTTCGTTACCCTTCAATTGTTTTACATAGCCTTTGACACTTTAGACCCAACTACCAGCTCTCTTCATCATATTAGGCTCCCTGATTCCAAAGGTGATGGACTATCTTTAAATAAGAAGAGATACATTAACAATTTAAGCATTAGAGTAATCCAATCTAAATGTATCCCCACTGAACAGAAATATGGAAGAGGACTGTAATGACTTTAACAAATTATAAAAAATCGTATTTCATGAATCGATGTCCATAGTATTTTAGCATCAGATCTGTTTGTGTTTATTTTCTTATGGTGAGCGTGTCTCAAGCAATGCTCATGCACCTTCCAGCATGAATGAGGTCTGGCTTGTTGGGAAGGTGTGACAGACTCGGGTTTATTACCCTCAACATGGAGCAAAGTCCGATTGAGGGCCTTTACACAGCACCATCTCTGAGACAGCCCGTGTCTGTGCCTGTTTTCCTCCCTGTCCCGGAGGCCCGTACAGTTATGAACGACTGCTTACGGTGACCCATGCCGCCCCTCTCCTATGGTGGACCATGAACATCTCAAACTATCCCCTGGATCACCCCACGGCCCACCACTCTGCCGATTACACACAGGACCTTGCGTCACAAGAGGGACCGTCAACATGTAAGTAGAGCTTTGGATCGGAGACACTTTAATGGCTTTAGCGATTGCTTAAATGGGTGTAGTAAACATTTAAAAGTCACAGACTAACTCATTTTAAATCTATCCGATTGTTTAGGTATAGAAAATCATGAAATATAATTTGATCAGTTTAGTCATGTTTAGTACGCATATTGAAGTATAACATTCAGTGTAGAATTGTAATGCTTTCATTCAACGGATCATTTCTTTATCAAATCTAAATAAAAGTACTTTTCAGAAGTCAGTTTGTTTCTTTTGACTGCTGAAAATATTAAAGTGTAAAGAAGGATTATGTA